TAAATTTAGGACCAGCAACATTTTAGTAATTCACCGAAATATCAAATTATCGATAAATAAATAATTATTAAGTTAGGCAGTTATTATAACTTATTAGTACTTCATGAAATTATTATTCTGGTTTTTTTTTAGTATTATTATTTTGATCTTATTTAAGGCTTGCGGGAAGTGGACTCAATAAAAATAAAATCAATAATGATAATAATAATAATTTAACAAAGTATGATTAAAGAAAAAAAAAAGTTAATTAATTAATTAAAAGAAAAAAGAAAAAATAGGTTGGATTTCCACATGGGTGGCATGTGATGTGGGCCCACAGAAAGAAAGATGACATGCAACCCGTATTTCCCGGACTAAGGTCTGTTTGTCGGGTATTGTTGTGGTGGTCGACATCTTCTATCTGTACGATGCACCTTCCTTCCTTTCCTACGTACATTCCAATACTTATATTTTTTGGTTTTTTCCTACGTTTTTTTTTTATTTACTAAAATAATTAGTTTATGTTATAACGGGGATCTGTGATATTTGATAATATTTAAATAACAATTTTCGTAGTTGGAACCGTAGCATTAATTTGCACTTTGTAATTGTACACTTTGGTGGTGTTTGTCTAAAGTTATTCCCTCCAGTTTCTCGTTTCTTTTTAAGTGTGGTCTTAGCCATTTTTTTTTATTAAGTGTCACTTTAGAGTTTCAGAGCAGGAAATAAATAATTTTCTTCAACTTTACTCTTACATTAACGATCGATTACTGAAATAATCAAGAGAAGCTGAAAAATACATAAGGGTATTTTCGTCAAATTTCCTTCTAAAATTGAAAAATTATTTAGTAATTTCATTAATTAGTATGTATTGACCTTAAACGACATTTAAAAAGAAACGAAGGGAGTATAAATTAAACAATATTAGAAGTTAATTATAGGGGTGTAAATGAGCTGAGCCGGCTCATGAGCTCGATGAGTTGACTCGACATCGAGCTTTCCGACGAGCTCGAGCTTGAGGTCATCTTCAGTTGTTCTTGAGCTCATGAGTCGGCTCACGAGCTTTATACTCGACAAAAAGCTCGAGCTCGAGCTTGAGTTCATCTTCAGTTGTTCATGAGCTCATAAGCCGGCTCACGAGCTTTATATATAGAGTTGGTTGACCGATAAAATCGATCCATGTCCAACCCTAATATAGAGTTGGTACGAATCTACGATTATTCGTAATTTAGACTTTTTTTTTATAATATTGTAATTTCAGTTACTTATACTTTATAAGTTGGTCGTGTCCATATACAAACATGTATTTATATATATGTGCAAATTAAATGTGTGAGAGTAAAGGGACAGACGACAAAGATAGGTCATTTGATTTGGCATTGCACGTTAAGACATAATA